ACCTTGTTCGGTCAGTGGAATTCCTTCAGGTGGGTAGGCAAAGTCATAAAGGTGACATGTCTCGTTCTCCATGCCATGGTCGTCCCCGTTCTCTGAAATAGAAACACCTGCCGCAGGTATGTCATTGGTTGCAGCTCCACTTGAATCAGCTGCGTCGGCTGCAGGTGAGTCCTTGTCCATTCCTCCAGCAGGGGTACTGCATACTTGGTGTCCAGTTGGCATATCGGTTGATGACGCGGAAGAGGATGGGGAGGACGGAAAAGGATCGAACTCATGCTCAATTTCTTCTCCCCCTGAAGTCCACTCCGCAACGTGGGGTGAGACTTCATCGACATAGCGTTGACGTTCGAGGAGAGATTCTGCGTCCGGCAACATGAGGTCATCAAAGAAGCGAGCAGACCGAGTGTCCGTGTCCACGTCACTTGCCATGTCCCGCACGATCCACGCTTTCCGAACGTTGGAGATGCCGAGGAACATGCCAGCTCGGCCTCTCTGCCTTGTGGAGGAAGGTAATAGCAGAGGCAGCCAAAGGTTCGTGCCATGGACACGTCCGCAGGTTTCCCCGTCATCATATAGTACGGTGAGTGCGCAGATGGGTTGCTGCTGCAGCTGATGCGGTTGTGTAACCATGTAGCGTACTCAAGCGCGTACGGCCAGAAGGTGGAGGAGAGGCTGGCCCCGGTAGTCATGGTCCGCACTTTGTCCATGAGTGTGCGGTTAACCCGTTCCGCGACTCCATTCTGCTGAGGGGTGTGCGGTAACGACGTTTCGTGGATGACGCCGTGGGAACTCAAATATTCTGTGAAGGCGTTTGCTGTATACTCCCCCCCGTTGTCCGTGCGCAGGGTAGCCAGCGGCTTTGTAGGCAGCTTAGTCTTCATTTCGCGGTGCCATGCCGTGAAGACAGCTTGCATGTCAGATCGGCGAACTAGCGGCGCTACCCACAAGTAGTTGGTAAAGTCATCCTTGAGCGTCAGGACGTAGCGAAGTGAGGGGTGGGCGTCACCCAGGTCCATGATGTCGCTGTGCACGAGCTCCAAAGGGCGACTTGACCGCTTCTCATTTCCTGTAGGAAAAGGGGCTTTGGTCATTTTTCCTCGCAAGCAAGAGTCACACGGGGGCTTCAGAGGGTTGGTTTTGTCAGAAATGGTAAGCCCTTCAATGTCACCATTCCGAAATGTGGCATCCATGGAAGCGTATGACGGATGCCCCAAACGCTTGTGTGCCATGCGGTATGTGACAGATGCGTGTGCAGAATGGCCACTCAAGTGTATTTCAGGTGTGCGGAAATCTGAGCTTCCGTGTGTACCGAAGTGCACTCCCAGTGTGCAGAGAGTTGTGTCCCCTTCACCACCATGCGCTTTCGATGATGCATCATCACGGGAAGGACCAGGACCATGGGCGGATGTAAGTGCAGGCTCATACTCCACCATGAGTACCCCATGCATGATGATCCCAAGTCCAATGCACACATGCTCATCTCCATCCGCCATTGTGATCGCTGTGTGCCCGTCAGTACGCGTACGAATCTGTGCACCTTTCTTGTACAGTTGGCAGTATGAGAGGAGATTGGATTTCAGGCCGGGTACGTAGAGAACGTCAGTGTAGCGAACTGTTATCCCATCCGGTGCCGTTGCCCTGACCGTTCCCATCATCGTGCTGCGCAGTTGGCTTCCATCAGCAAGCTCCACATTCACAGGGTCGGCCAGCTCCTTCAGCTCTTCAAACCAGCGCTTGTCCGAAGTCATGTGCTGGCTGCATCCGCTGTCTAGCAGCCAGAAAGACCTTCCAGCCGAGGGTAAGGTTGCTTGTGATGATCGCACCGTTGCAATGCAGGTAATGGTGCGTTTGTTGTCTCCTTCGGCTGCCCCTTGTTGTTGTGACACACTTTGGTCATGCTTGGGACTGCCACTCCTTCGTGGAGAGGACGAACGGTTGTAGTTGCTGCGTTGGTTTGTTCTCCCTCGGGTAGGAGATTCCCACCCTGGTGGTGACCAATTTGGAGGTGCCTTGGTGCACTTGTAGAAGGGGTGGCCTGGCTCCTTACAGTACCAACACACGAGAGTTGAGCGACCCGCACCTCCATTCTTGCCTTGCATTTTCTCCCCAACTGACCCATGCCGTTCTTTTGGTGACCACGCCGAACCCATCTCATCATTTCCGATGTTTCCCGTAGCATGTGGAGAAGGTGAGTGATCTCCACGAGCTTGTCCAGCCATGCGAGGTGGACGCCGGTCACGATTCGCCTTGGTAATGAGGTCTTGATATCTTTGCTCTCGAATCATCATCCGCTGCAAAGTGAAGCTGTCCGTTACGTTGTGTAGCATTGCCGAGTGCCTCATCTCCTCCCAATGTGCCGGTAGTCCGGTGAGCAGATTTAAGGTGAATGTGTCCTCATCCACCATCCTTCCCGCCAACGCCAACTTGTCCCGAATCGCCGTTGCGCGGTTCACATACTCCTCCACCCTCTCTTGATTCCCCATTTTCAGGTTGTCCAACTGCTTCATGAGAGAGACCTTCGCCACCGAATCTTTGGCCTGGTAAGTGTCCATCAAATACTCCCATGCTTCATAAGCCGGGCTGTAGGATTCCTGGAACATGTCTAGCTGTAGTTGAATCGTGGCGCTCACGCTGTGCAATAGGACCCAAAAGGCGAGTGCCGCACACTGGGAGTAATCCGCCTGTAGCATTTCCAGCCGCCCCATAGCGTCGTCAATGTCACCATCTCCCATGGTAACCGGATACTGCAGGGTCACAAAGAACTCCCACAGATTCGTGACGCGGGCGTTCATACGAAACCGTAGTGCCCATTCGCGGAAATTTGGGCCGTCAAACGGAGTGGTGGTGAATGCCTTGTCCACCGTTGCTCCCACCATTTTGCGTGACAGTCGTTCCTTGTCTTCGTCCGTATATTCACGTGGTGCGGGGTCGAAGAGAGTAGGCATGGTTGACGGTCGAGGTAGCTGTACCGTGCGCCGCATATCTCCATTCTGTCCACCAAGTTGACGTTCCAGCACTTCCACTTGATCCCGTCGCATGACACCACTTGACTGCATTCCGTACCCCATCCGCCCCATGCTGCCCACAGAGTGTGCGCTAATTGGTGGACGATGTGCACGCGGAGGGATGATGTTGTCGCCACGAAGGTGAGACCTGGGCATGGGAAGAACTCCAATGGGATGAGAGTTAGTCGCAAGTCGTCGTAGTGGGGGAGCACCAATAGTGTAGGAGGCAAATCCCACACCTTCCACGCCCACTTGACCATTTCCGTCATTCTGCTGGCCAATCTGTCCACTTCTCATTCCACCATATAATGCGTTCCCATACTCATCATTCCTCCCCCGCGCTTCTCTTTGCATGGATGATTGAGGTGCGGGATTGGCGCTCCCCCCTCCTTGGACGGATGCATCCCTCCCTTGGGATGACTCTCCTCCTTGGGGTATGCTCATTTCCCCTTCACCATCAATTCCTGCAACGACATTGGAAGCATGCGTTTGGTTAGTACGAGGAGTGCTTGAATGCGACTGTCCATGAGTGGACGGATTGCTCAACGAGTGTGCGGTTGTTGGCATGTTGAACTTGACTCGCAGTGATGCCTGCAGTGCTGGTGGTGCCCTTGAAATCATGTTTTCCAGGTGCTCATGCTGGGCCAAGATGGCTTCTTCAAAAGCCGCATATCCAGCATCCACTTCGTCATCGAATTGCGCCATGATCAAACCGTACACCAGGTGTGCGCTACACGCGCAAGATAACTTCAGAAGTGAAGACCACGTGTACGAAAGCGTATACTAGGTGCCTGGTACTCTGAGCGTTTGCAGGTACCTATCCGAAGGGAATTCCAGCAACTTTATAGACCAAATTTGGCAGCATGCCCCCTAGAGTTGCTCTGATACCATGCTAGAAAGGCATAGTGCCAGCGTAGAGGAAACGTGTTTGTAGAAAGAACAAGATAGAACTCTTGCACTGGAAACGGATTGAGAATTTGATGGATTTTAGGCAATACAAGCAAGCTTGATATAGCATGCATGATCTAATGATGGAAAGTGCTACGTGAGAGACCAAAAGTAGAAGCAAGAGAAGTAGAGTGCTAGATGGCACAAGGAAATCAAGGAGGATAAGGATAAGGGTGAGTTGGAAAGTACTGTTCAAAAGGGAACAGTAAATCCCCCCCCTTATCATGGAGGCTTATAGAGGGGACTACACTAAAACCAAACAGCACACTGGTATACAGTATTCGTTATACTGTATTCGGATTTCCAACACCCCAAATCCTAGCACGGGCCCTGCAGTACACCACCACAAATGAGCTACTGTACACTGTCAATCACATCAAACACAATAGAAATCAAGGCAACAAAATTACCCCACAACCAACATACATTAGTGAACGACTGACCCAAAGACACTATAACCAGAAACCAAACCTAATGTCAGTAACATCTCTGTTCACGAATCTGCGGACCCTGCTCTGTTATCATCATCTGAAACAGGCTCCCTCTTTATTTCCAGCTTTGTGAGTGCTGAGTTGGGGCCACGTTCCCTCAGAATCTCCTCATAAAACCGATCCCTGAATCCAGACTCGCTCCAGTACTCTTGATACTCCGGCTTCACTCTCCGCACAGGAATGGTGATGGAATACACGGTCCCTATGTCCGGGTCAGCTGACACACTCAGCTGCACGTCTTCTTCTGATTCTATCTCCACGTATGCTGAAATTGCATCAATGATCTTGCGGCGTAGTCGCCTTCTCACTTCAGGACTTACTTCCCCTCGATCTGTGTACAGAACAAGCCGAAGCCGCTCTTTGGCAATCTCTGCATTGCTGCAAGACGTTTGAGAAAGGAAGAATGGTCAAATGCTTAGCCACGAATTACTCAACCCAATGGAACAACCATGAAAGGGACGGATTTCGAAGAAAAAGTGTGACTGAGAAAATCGGTTTTACAGACAGTTGACCACCCATAACTTTTACAGTCAGCGAGCTCGGTGGTGTGACTAACCTCGGAGGACGGTTTCTTGGAGGAAAGATGATTCGCCATGCCCGCTGCAACCGTTGAAGGAAAGTTAACTCAAATAGATCTTCGTCATCTTCATCATAATAGGTAGCTTTTACTGCAAAGATAATGCATCAAAGAAGGAGGATACGTAAAACTGCTGAAGCCACAAAATGCAGGCAACTGAAGTAATGGCAAGTGAGCAAATTCATACCCGTAAAAGCCCGGCAGACGCCAGGCCTTGGCAATGGGTTAGCCCTAAAACCTGAAATTCCGTGAAATCCTGGTGTCAAAGCGCTTCGCAATAATGTCCGTGAGCGAGTCAACGATTGCTGCCGTACTGTTCCTAGTCTTGACTGCAAGCGTATGCAGACATGAGAACCACGTGAGAAACATGCCCAAATGCACAGCCTCGAGCGAAAGGCGAGTAACTTTTTCCATTGTAAGAAAGCAAAGGCTTACCGACGGATTGGTCTGAGAACATTTAACGGGAGAATGCGATAAAGCATCTGAACTTGCAACGGCGCTCCTAGAAGCCTCTGGCAATAACGGTTGAGCGACCCTAGAAGATGACGACCACACTGCGGGTCGCGCCATTGTCTCCATCAGTAAACTACCACACACTAAGCTGCTTCTGTACCCACCAACAACGTTTCCAATAACTAGAGATCTAAAAGCTTCAGCCCTAGGTCCATGGATGTTGCTTTCGTGAACGGTGAGAGAACACTCTTTGCGAGGGTTCTCAGCGAATCACACCGTCGCTAGAGCGTCCTTTCCTCACTGACAGGCCCTTGAGCACACACGAGGGGAAGAGGAGCGAACCAGGAAAAACGAACGGTATCTGGCCAGAATTTTGTTTTGGCGGGAAATATACAGTGTTGGGCCACGTACTGTACTTCGACAAGGTAATAGCTACTCAATATATCTATCCAGCCTCATAAAAAAACGTCAAGATAGAGCAGTCCACCATCATTAACGTATTAACGCAGTTGGTCATGTATGGGTAAAAAATGACAGCTCCTGATCCTAGTAACCATTCAGCGTTTTCTTTTTGCTCTCGAAGTAGCATCAGGCACCGTTTCTTTTCTTTTTCCGCTCCCTGCCACGGTGGCCTGTGCCTGCAGTCCTGAGACGGCAGTTGACCACAGTGCCTTCTCTACATCAGCAGCTGTGAACTTAACGAGTGAAGCCTCCTCTTCATGTGACGTGGAACGGGCACAGTCCTGCTCTGCTTGCCCTTCTGCTCCGACTGTAGCGGAATCTGTAGCTCCTACCTGTGCGGTTTTGTCTTCGAGCCGATTCAATCCCTGTCGAGGAAATAAGGGAGGAGGAAGAGATTCATCCAGTGATTTAGGTTCAAGAACAAGGAAAGGGGCATGCGGCCTCAAGGCAGGAGCAGTTTACATGCTCACACCCTTGGAAAAGATGCAGAGAAATGTGCTCGCACTGAAACGCACTCACACTGAAACAGGCTCGCACTGAAACCTTCTCACCCGGGCCAGCGTATGCAAACAGGAATGCACATGCACCAAGAAGCTACAGAGCACATCATGCGTTCCAAGCCAAAAGTTTGAAACGTTCCACACCTCACAGATATTTTCAAACACTCTTTCCGGCGAAGGTAACAAAAAAAGCGCCACTCAGCTTACCGATGACTTTTCGCGCATGGCCTTGGCAAAAACGAGGTAGCGGTGAAGCGAGTAGTCTTTGCAGTCCCCCAACGCCGCAACCATGGCCTGGATCACCGCAGCAGGGAGGGAGATGAGAAGAGAGGCAAGGACAAAGAGGAAGGGGAGGGAGCACACAGAGACTGACAGGAGGAAGGCATCCCAGTGCTCATGAGGTAGCGGCGACGCGAGTAGTCCTTGCAGTCCCCCAACGCCGCAACCATGGCCTGGATCACTGCGGAAGGGAGGGAGATGAGAAGAGAGGCAAGGATGAGGAGAGGGAGCACTAAGGGACTGTTGGGAGGAAGGGCATCAGAATGCTCATGAGGTAGCGGCGAAGCGAATAGTCCATGCAGTCTCCCAAAGCCGCAACCATGGCCTGGATCACTGTGGCAGGCAGGCAGATGAGACGAGATGCAAGGATGAGGGGAGGAGCACAGAGAGACCGTTGGGAGGAAGGGCACCAGATTCTCACATGAGGAAATCAATTGATATTTCAAGTGGTTGAAGGAGATGGGGTTGGGGGTTTAGGGTTCAGGGTTTGGGGTTCGGGGATCTAGGGTTTAGGGTTGTTGCAGAGGCAGCAATGGAGAAAGTAACATGGATGGATGCGTTTACATACTTCACAGTATTTCGCTCCTGAGAAATTATCTTCGCTTTGTAGATCTCTGCTCACCTCATTCGACATGAATGGAGTGGCAAACGCAGCCAGCACTGCAGATGCTGTTGCTGCTCCAACGCCCTTGAGTTACGAAAGTTCTGTCACTGCAGCCTTTAGACTCGCTTTAACACTGCTCCCGAGAAGAATCCCTGCTCACCTCGTCCGACATAAATGGAGCGATTTCAGGGGCGAACGCAGCCAGCACTGCAGATGCTGTTGCTGCCCCAACGCCCTTAAGTGTTGACAGCTCCGTTACTGCTGCCTTCAGACTCGCTTCAACATCTGCATCGGAACGTGCTCCCGAACCTCCAGACGTGGTAAGGTTGTGGTATGGCGCCAGAGCAGCGAAGGCTCGAGATGATGCGGCCTGGACTGCTTTGGGGTCGAGATGCTTGACGAAGTCCAGAAGACGAGGGCTGATGGGGGAGGGAATGTCGAAGGGAGAAGGAAAGGAAGGGAGAAGGAAAAGGGAGAGGGGGAGCGTGAGGGGCTTTGAAGTCAACACAAAGATGATGCGGTTTGGATTGCATCAGAGTCAAGCTGCTTGCTGAAGTCCAGGAGAAGAGGGACGGTGGACGAAGGGAAGGGAAAAGGTAAGGGAGAAGGAGGGGAGAAGGAAGGGGAGAGGGGGCGTGAGGGGCTATAAGTCAACTATAAGTCAACACAAAGATGATGAGGTTTGGATTGCATCAGAGTCAAGCTGCTTGCTGAAGCCCAGGAAACGAGGGACGGTGGACGAAGGGAAGGGAAAAGGTAAGGGAGAAGGAGGAGAGAAGGAAGGGGGGAGGGGGCGTGAGGGGCTATAAGTCAACTATAAGTCAACACAAAGATGATGAGGTTTGGACTGAGTTGGGTTAGAGCTGCTTGATGAAGTCGAGGAGACGAGGGATGATGGGCAAAGGGAGAAGGAGGGGAGACGGAGGCCGGGAGCGGGGTGAGGGGACTTTTGAGTCGATTCCAGAGTCTTGAGGTTTGGACTGCAGTGCGATCAAGCTGCTTGATGAACTCGGGGAGACGAGCGCTGATGGGGGAAGGAAGAATGAACGGGGAGGTAGAGGGGAAGGAAGAGGGGCTTTAAGTCAACACAAGAATGATGCGGTTTGGACTGCAGTGCGATCAAGCTGCTTGATGAACTCGGGGAGACGAGCGCTGATGGGGAAGAAAAGGAAGGAAGGGGGAAAGGAGGTAAGAAGGAAGGGGGAAAGGAGGTAAGAAGGAAGGGAAACAGAAGGGAGAGGGAATGGGGTGCGGGCGTGAAGGGCTTTGAGTACAGCACAATCATGCGGTTTGAACAACATCGGGGTCGAGCTGCTTGATGAAGTCCAGGAGACGAGGGCTCATTGGGGAAGGGAGAAGGAAAAAGGGAGAGGGGCTTAAGTCAACACCGAATTCATGCGGTTTTGAACTGCAGTGGGGTCGAGCTGCTTGATGAATTGCAGGAGACGAGGGCTGATTGGTGGGAAGGGATTGGAGAAGGAAAAGGGGAAAGCTGGGGTGAAGGGGGTTTGAAGGGGGGGGAGGGAAGGCTGAAGCGAAGGGGAAGGGAAAATGGTTGTGTACACATGGGGATTGCAGATTAATGAGGTTTAGATTGAGAAATGCGGGAGTCTTATGATAGGAGTCTTGTGTTGCAGGTTTCAGATTTCAGGTAATTGTGAGGGTGGGGTGAAACGATCGCGTGCGGGTGATGGGAAGAGAGGAAGAGGGGGCAAGGGGTCGGTGATGGTCGGGGAGGGAATGGCGTTAAGGAAATTACCGCCACTTGCCACGTGTCAGCTTCCACTCCATCACCGACACGAGCTCCTCCTTGCTGACGTAAGCTCCACCACCCCCACCATCCCCTCCACCCCCACCATCCCCTTTCTCCTTGTCCTCGCTTTCTGAATCTTCGCGTTTCCTGCTCCTACTTCTGGTAACCCTAGATTCAATACACCCGCCCTTAGCATTCCCGCGTTTACTCCCACCTGTGGTATCTCCACCATTACTAACATTCTCTGGTTTAGAATCTCCTGCTTCGACATCCTCGGCTTTAAGATCTCCGGCTTCGAGGTTTCCCGGTTCAGGGTCGCCGCTTTCGCCACCGCGTTGTCGCTGCCGCAATCGCCGCGGCAGCTCGTCGCAGTAGAACGCGTCGAGTGCCGCGAGCTTAGGCTTCGCGAGCAACTCGATCGCGCTGCTGTACGCGGTACGGGCTTCCCGCCAAGCGCACCGATCAGACGACGAGAAATCAAGCATCCTGTCAGAAATCGTCCTCTAATCGACGGACTGCTAACTTAGCAGACTGTAGCCTTGTCCATCACTCTTTTGCTTCACTTTGCCTCGCCTATTGACAAACCCAAGGTAAACTTTGTGTGAATGGTTTCCATATACTGGTGTGGCTCGGAAACTCATATATGGACAACATTCTTTATTGTTATATTGTAAGGAATTTTCTCGACATTCCTTAGCGCATCCTGCAACATCGCGTACAGCAGCAGCCGTTGTTTCGCCCGTTACTGCTAACTGGGCTTGGCCGACTTCGTGCACACTGTTTCACCAAACCTCGCACTGCTGGCCCGGCCGTGTCGGCCTACGCTTCGGGGCTAGCCCGAACCTCACTGCCAGCGTAGCACTAGCTAGCTCGCACGCACCGCGTTACCGTTTGCAAGTTTCGTGTATAAATATTCGCTCATGTCTTCGCTCACATTTTGTACTCGTTTGACACTTAGTGCAATCCTCGCTATCTCGATTCATTGCACCCGTAACACTTGGTATTTAGTTCAGGGCCCCTTTCTTTTCGGACCGCGCATCTCCGCACCCTAGGAAATCAACTTTTGATTTTTCACTCGAAGGGACTCACGCACCTTAGCCCTTAGGGGCCGCTGTCCTCGCGTTCTCTCGTAAACGCGTGCAGCCACGACTGCGCCTAGAACTAAGACGAGCTCATGCCATTCGGAATGGCCGAACATATCGACGTCACCACCCTTACGCAGGACCGTCTGGACGAGCTGCTGCAACAGCTGCACGAAAATTCCGAAGAAATTGCGGCTCTGTCGGCGGAACGCACGTCCCTGCAAAATGACGTCGCACGAGCACGGCAAGCACAATCTCAAGCACATGGCACCCCGGTACAGCCCGCACCACAGACATCGCAACATGGAAGCGTGGGGCAACCTGCGAGCGCGGCCAGTGATGGCGTCGTCCGCCACGACGGAGACGACGACCACGGCACGACACACTCCGAAGCGACGAATGCGATCAGGAGTCAGCCTCGAGTCACGATTTCTGTGCCGGCCGGCGAATCAACACTACCGTCGCCGATGCCGTTGAAGCCGCAGTGTCCGCCATGCTTTGACCCGAGTCAACGGGGTGGTCCTACCGTTCAGACGTCGTTGTTCACGTTGAATGTTTTCTTCGACGTCAACTACGTCTCGGAAGATACAGCGAAAATCCGCTATGTCGTGTCGTCGTATTTCGTGGAGGTGCCCCAATATCGCATATGGGACGCGTCGTACGCAGGTCTGCACGCTCGGTTTGAGCCAATTGCGGCTTCAATCGCGGCGCGACAGAAGCTCCGCGCTTGGTGCCAGCTCGGTTCCGTCCAGGACTACACGAGCGGGTTTCTGGCGCTATGCGAGCAAGTGGGTTATGTGAGAATGCTGTATTTGTCTAGCCTGCAGTGGGGTACTCTATAGCGAGTACAGCCCAACTTAGGGTTTGCTATATGTACTCAACTGCTTGCTTGTGCAACCCCCCTTTCTGCTGCTAAACTTTCTTTCTTAACTTTGGACATGCTATCAGAGCCTGTCCCTCCTTGGCCTGTGGGCCCACCAACCTGCTTCCGCTGCCACTCGATCTGTCGCACGCCCCGTGGCGTGCGACGTATTTTTCATCTCGGCGCGCGGCGATTTCCTCTCTGGCGCGCGCCCCGAGGCGCGCGACCCCTTTTCTTCCTAGCGCGCCGGCCCCGCTGGACCTGCGCGCCGCACCCCGTCGACCCTCGCGTCGCCTCAGGGGACCCGCGCGCCGCCCCCGTCGACCCTCGCGTCACCTCAGGGGACCAGCGGGGGGTGTCGGTTGTGTGCGCCGTCCCCTACTCCTCCTCCTCCTCCTCCTCCTCCTCCGTCTCCCGCTGCTGCAGCTGCCGCTCAGGGGGGTGGGTGTGTGGGAGCCGAAGGAGTGGTGCTAGGGGGGTGTCGTGGGAGTGGAGCTAGGGGTGCAGCAGGGGGTGTGTGATAGGGGCGTGGGGCAGCTGGGGGAGGTTGAGTGGAGGCGGCCGTCATGTCGCCAGCAGCGCCAGTAGTCCGGAGGCTACAATCTCCGGTAGTCGCCAGTCGCCTGTGGGTCAGTTGCTCCAGTCAGGAGGCTACAATCTCCGCAGAGCCAGCTACTCCTGTAGTCCGGGCCCTTGCTTCGGTAGCCACTGAGCCAGCAGCTCCTGTGTGTCTGCAGCTTCAGCAGTCGCCTCCCATCTTCTCGCCCTCACAGTCTCTCCTCCTCCTCACTTGCCCTCTGTGATAGCCTCTAGCTTTACTTATCATTGTGAACTATTCCTATGCATGCTTGTTGTGCTGATTACACCCCACTTTGGCAATGGGGGTGTGTCACAATGCTGTATTTGTCTAGCCTGCAGTGGGGTACTCTACAGCGAGTACAGCCCAACTTAGGGTTTGCTATATGTACTCAACTGCTTACTAGTGCAACCCCCCCTTTCTGCTGCTAAACTTTCTTTCTTAACTTTGGACAGGTTATATGTATGAGAGCGAACGTATTGACCGCTATATCGGCAGCCTGAAGCACGACATTGATCAGGAAATCCAGCTTCGCGGCGTCACCGATTTCCAGGAGACTCGCCATGGCGGAGAAGCTCGATTTCTTCCGCCGATCGAGACCGCGGTCCTATGGAAGCAGTAGCCGGGGACATCGGTCTCGTGGGACAAACGAGGGCGCTACGATACGTGCCGTCGGCCGGGACACCGCAAGAGTGAATGCCCGAAAAACGCTAAGGGAAAGGGGGAAGCTGAGCAACGGAAACAGACCAAGCAACGGGGAAACGCTAAGAGTCAGTACCAGACAGGCCCTCTACTAACAGGTCACGCCGCTCACCCGACCCAACCGACCCTCACCGAGTGATTGTGCCGGTTCACGCAATCTGTTGGTTATAGAAATAAATTTCTGTAACCCAATCAGCCGATTTTGAGAAACTTAGAACGAGAATGGATTGACTAAGGAATGAAAGTGATACAAATATGAAACCCTAGAATTGTGTACCCCTTTGTATCTAACCCGCTACAGCCTACACAGGCTAGATCATATAAGTTTGACACACCCCCATAGGCAAAGTGGGGGAGAACAAGGGGTCACAAGACCAGTCAAGCAAAGCAAGGCAAAGCAAGCTCAGGGTGGATCACAACGTCACCACACATTCTGAGCACAAGTTCAAGGCCACGAGGCTAGTTCACATGTATGAGTACACACATATATATAACGCTAAACAAGCAAAAGCAGGTATATATATATGTAATAGTACAAGCAAGGTCAAGAAGTGAGCAAGTGAGGCAAGGTAGGTACAAGACCTAACAGAGTACAGAAGCGCTGATGGTCACAAGGCGCAAGTGCCTTGGTGAAGATATCAGCAGTGTTGGCCTCAGAGGCCACGTAACCAAGGCACAGCTGACCTCGCTGCTGCAGCTCACGAGCAAGGAAGTAGCGAAGAGCGATGTGCTTCGTTCTGTGCTCCAGTCTGTGCTCCCGACACAAGGCCAGCATAGCCTTGTTGTCTATGTACAGAACTGGAGGAGAACGAGGCGGCTCTCCTAGGTCAGTCAGCAGGTAGGTGAGCCAGCGTAGCTCCTGTGCAGCCATGGCCCCCGCGTAGATCTCAGCCTCACAGCTGGAGCCGAGAATAGAAGACGAGCGGGTAGACCGCCACGAAACAGAGCCGGAACCAAGGATGAAGGTGTAACCCTGTGACGACCGCTGCGTAGCCTGGTCGTTAGCCCAAGAAGCGTCTGCGTGACCAGTGAGGACCACTGGACTCCGCCCTCCAAGCACAAGTCCCATGCCCGACGTACTACACAAGTAGCGCAACACCCTCTTCGCTGCAGCCATGTGCTCCGGTCTGTGTCTCCCAGGAGCAACATAGCGTGCCAGAATGCTAAGAGGGTATGCAAGGTCAGGTCGAGTGCAGGTCATCAGGTACATGAGGCAGCCAACAAGCTCTGGGTACGGGCCACTCGACTCTACGGACTCATCCGAAGGCAGAGCTGAGAGCGAGTGGCGAGTAGACAGAGGAGTGGCCTGAGGCGAGGAGTACGTGAAGCCGAAGCGCTGAAGGACCTGCTGCACCATGTGTGACTGAGTCAGGGTAATGGTGCGCTGTGCTCTGTCCCGGGTGATCTGCAAGCCAAGGTAGCTGCGCAGTTCACCCAGATCTGTGCACGTGTGTCTCTTCTGCAGCTCGGACTTCACGTGGGCGAGTCCAGCAGTGTGAGCTGTGGCAAAGACCAAGTCGTTGACATACACGAGGATGTAGAACGGCGGCAAAGAGGTGTCGGTGCACAGAAACAGCGACGGGTCGGCAGTAGAAGGAGCAAACCCTAGAGCCGCAAGTGTAGTCCTCAGTTTGTCGTGCCACTCACGAGGTGCCTAGCGGAGACCGTAGGCTGGCTGCTGGAGGCTCCACTGGGTACCAGGAGGAAAAGACCCAGTGAAGCCAGGTGGGCGGCGCAGCCAGATCTCCTCGTGCAGGCTGCCCTGCAAGAAAGCTGTGCTGAAGTCAAGAGAGTGAAGCTCGTAGTCACGGTGAGCGGCTATGTGCAGCAGTACCCGAAGAGTGGTCATCTTTGGGGTGGGAGAGAAGGTCTGAAAGTATTCAACTGCCTGCCGATGACTGAAGCTACGAGCCACGTAGCGCGCCTTGAAGACAGGTGGAGAGCCCGGCGGCCGCTTCACCCTGAAAATCCACATGCCACTGACGATGTTCGCCCCAGGAGGGGGAACCTCGTCGACGTAGGTGCCTGTGGACTTCCAGGAAGCCATCTCTGCATCCATGGCTGCCTGCCACTGAGAGGAGTAGGGACCCTCTATCGCCTCCGCGTAAGAGCGCGGAGTCGGGATGTCAAGTGCATACGGGTCTCCCTCAGGGGCAAGCAGCATGGATACGAGATGTGGTGAAGCAGCAGCAAAGCACTGGAACTCCTCCTGCCTGTCCTCACACTAGCGCCAGCAGCACCCCCAGCTCCAGCAGCGCCAAC